GGTGCGGGGAGGCACACCCTCACCTGAGCCCGCTGCCGCCCAGGGGCCCACCGGAGCGGGTGTGAGGAGGCACACCCTCACCTGAGCCCGCTGCCGCCCAGGGGCCCACCAGAGCGGGTGTGAGGAGGCACACCCTCACCTGAGCCCGCTGCCTCCCAGGGGCGCACCGGAGCGGGTGTGGGGAGGCACAGGTGGCACACTCGGGAGGAAACCTACGCTCAGCCCCCGCCTCAGGGCACTTGCCTTGGCTTTCTCTTTCTAGAAGGGAGGGTGTCTCCCTCGGTTGCTGGGGCCACACTGAGCCGCCCTCTCACGTCACTGCGCCACTGGGACGCTCTCTCTCAAGGTCACCGCGCCTGTCTGCCTCCCCTGGCCATCACCTCCCTTTCCCGCCTGGTGGTCAGAAGCAGAGACGGTGGCGGACACGGGGAGTTTCCAAGGGCTCTGCCCGTTCACTCGATGCGGGGAACATCTCGGAGAGCGGAGTGTCTGTGGTGTCAGGACCACTGATCAGAACCTGCTCAGTCTCGACAGCCTGACGGTGGTGCGGCTGTCACACACGCAGTCACATCTGTCATACACAGTCACATCAGTGGTGTGGGCCCTGCGCTCATCCCTGTGCCCCTCCGATGGCTTGCAGGCCTCTGTTGTCCCTGCTAGGCCTCCGCACAGGACACAGCACAGCCCCTCACTTCCAGTGACCCTTTTCTCTTCGTTGGGCTGTCCCAGGCCTGTCAGTGGCAGTGGTCTCAGTTGGTGTGACTCTTAGTGTATAGGTGACATTGGCAACAGTGTTCCGTTAGGGCTTCTTACAGCAGCTTCTGCCCGGGCCTTTGGAAGGGTCACGATAGATGAGGGCTGCTCAGGACAAGCAGAGAGAAGGGTGTGTGGGAATAAGGGGTGGCCGGGAGTAAGGCGAGGTGCGGGCGGTGATGGAGGAGAGGTGGGACGCGTCAGGCAGGAGTAGGTGGGGGTGCTGTCCTCGGGGCCGACCAGCCGAGGGCCCCATGGGCATGCTGGCCACACAGTGGGCCTGCTGAGGGTCCC